CACTCACTCACTCACAAACACAGAGTCATGCGGTGTGTCATGGCCACATATACTCGGCCTGCCGGCCTAGTCGCTCGCTCTTTCTTCCTCCTTTTTGTGGGGATCCCAAAGGCAATATACCGCCTGCTCCTTCTTGTCCAGTTTGAACCGCTTTCCGGCGAAGGTGTCTGGGGCGTGGCCGTGCCGTGCGGTGCGGTGCCGTCCGTCGGTTAAGGCGAGCGTCATTAACCCGTTCGCCCCGCCGCCAGTCATACATCTGTGTAACACGCACATAGCGCAGAGCCGATACCATTCCGAGAGAGTCAGGAGTCCTGAGGTCGACAAACTCTCCGTCACGTACGGGCGGCGGGCGGGCGGCCACACAGCTGCTCGCCAAAATTAGGGACCGCCCAATCTCGTGTGCGTGTGCGTGTTATGGGCATACCTCGCCCACATTGCCAATTTCTTAAAGATTATTGCCACCCACACGTCCCATCTGTACTCGTTTGTTTCAGATTCCTCCGTGATTGTCCGCTCTCTCGTGGAGTATAGCGGTCCAGCAGTACAGGCCTGCTGCGCTCTATTTCAGTGCTCAACCTGCGACTGGGCACTTTCCACACTGATGATGGAAAAGTCGGCAGTGGGTTGTCGCCTAAAAACGAGGAGAAAAGGCGGTGGAGCTTGAGGGAAAGACAGAAGCGAGAAGGATGCAGGGCGTTGTTAGGTTACAGAACGGGTGTACGGCAGTCGCGGGTCGCGGCCACCCTCGAGGCGCGCCGGGTCGGTAGGCAACCCAACCTACGGCTCGCTCCGCGGGTGGGTCTACTCTCGCCACGGCAGGGGTTGTCCGCTGCAGGACCGCGCCCAAGCGGATCCCCCGGGAGCACCGCCCACCGACGGGCCACCCGTGACCCGCCCCGTCCCCCCGCCGACGACGAGACGATCGCGACGACCTGACGAGTCGGAGTCGGGTCGGCCCCCCTCTTCTGTCCACTCCAGTTCTCAACACGCCCGCACGCTCGGCGACCCTGAATGATAAAGGTCACGCAAGTTTCGCATCGACATTGGGTGGCGCCGAGAGTGTCTTTGGGGCTGCCCGTGGCGAAGGGAGCCCAATCCCATAGAGTGATATTTAACCACAAGTCACGTCCGCGTCACCTTGCCCTTCAACAACGACGGAATGCGAAATGGGGACGGGAGAAAGACTGGGGGGCCTCGCCTCACGACGCCTCGCCTCGTCACGCCCGCGCGGGACTCTCGTTACAGATCCATGCATGGCGTGTGTGCGGCTGAGCGCCTTCAAGCGCCCCGCCATATTCCCCTTTATCACGCCGCACTGAAGTGTAGAGTAGCCGAGGATAAAAGACGCATGGCGCGCGTCTTTTGAAAAGACCAAGCCGAAGGTGGAGAGTGGTAGAGTTTCCCCGAGTCACCTCGTATCGACAGAGAAATACGACGCACGTTCGCCCTCGTATAGCTCCGCTAGGGCGGACCCGACCGGATCGTCCTCCAGAACGACACAAGAGCAGGAGACCCGCGACGCGGAGGCGGGCTGGGGCTGCCGGAAGCGCAACAGGCTCGGCGGAGGAGGTGATAAAAAGACGGG